ACTGCTGATGGAATGTAAATTAGTTCAACCATTGTGGAAGACAGTATAGTGATTCCTCAAAGACCTAAAGAGGGGAATAACATTAAACCCAGCAGTCCCACAACTGTATATATACCCAAAGGAATATAAATCATTCTGTTATAAAGACAAATGCACGCATAGGTTCATTGTAGTACTATTCACAGTAGCAAAGACATGGAATCAACCTAAATGCCCGTCAGTGATAGACTAGATAAAGAAAAGATGGTACACATACACCATGGGATACTATGCAGCCATAGAAAAAGAACAAGATCATGTCCTTTTCAGGGATGTGAGATGGGGCTGGAGGCCATTATCCTTAGCAAACTAACACAGGAAGATGAAACCAAACACTGCCAGTTCTCACATAAAGTGGGAGCTAAATGATGATAACACATGGACACATGGAGGGGAACAACACACACCGGGGCCTATCAGAAGGTGGGGGTGGGAGGAGGGACAGGATCAGGAAAAACAAGTAATGAGTATTAGGCTTAATACCTGGGTGATGAAGTAATCTTTTCAACAAACCCCCATAACATATGTTTACCTATATAACAAATCTGCACATGTACCCCTGAACTTAAAAGAAAATAGAGCCAATTATCTAATAAGTCACCACTAGATCTTTAAAATAAAACCACAGTTCAGAAAATTGAATAAATGCAGCTAGTTAATAGAGTGAGCTTTATATGTATTAATATATCACACTATATTAAGTTTTAAAAATATAGTTGCAATTCATACAGAAATGGAAACAAAGGCTGGGCGCAGTGGCTCACACCTGTTATCCTAGCACTTTGGGAGGCCAAGGCAGGTATATCACTTGAGGCCAGGAGTTCCAGACCAGACTGTTCAACATGGTGAAACCCTGTCTCTACTAAAAATAACAAAAATTAGCCAGGCATGCTGGCATGTGCCTGTAGTTCCAGCTAGTCAGGAGGCAGAGACCCAAGAATCACTTGAACCTGGGAGGCAGAGGTTATAGTGAGCTGAGATCACCCCACTGCACTCCAGCCTGGGCAACAGAGAAAAAGAAAGAAAGAAAGAGAAAGAGAGAAGGTGGGGAGAGGGAGAGAGAGAGAGAAGAAAAGAAAGGCGGGAGGGAAAGAAGAAAGGAAAGGAAGGAAGGAAGGAAGGGGAGGAGGAGGGAGAGAGAACAAGAGAGAACAAAAGAAAAAGAAAGAAGGAGGCAGGGAGGACAGAAGGAAGGGAAAGAAAGGGAGGGAAGGAAGGAAGAAAAAGATAAAGAAAGGAAGAAAGGAGAGAAGGAAGAAAAAAGGAAAAAGAAAGAAAGAAGTTTAATTTATTCTGGAAAATTTATTAGGGAGATGGAGGGGACCTAGACTTTTATTTATTTAATTAATGTTATTTTTGTAATTTGGAAAATATCATTTATGTAAAATAGAGTATCTTATTTTCTATAAAGGATTGGCAGACTTTCAGGTCATATGCTTACACAAAAATATACTGAATCATGAGTTTACAGATTAAAAAGAGGTAGAGACACCTTGTTTTACTCCAAATGAAATTATCCAATTATTAATCATGACACCGTATCTCCCAACCCCAGCTTCTATGGGAATTTTAAGGCACAGATTTGGCTTGAACATTATTTATTGAAAGCATCTAATGAGCTCATTCGGTTTGGACCAAAATTGATTTACAGCCTTCGAGTTCAAGATCGAGTCAAGGCTCCTAAAAAGAAAAAAAACAATAATGTTTCTCTAAACAAATTTATCCACATAAGGAAGAAGATAATACAAGTTGTTACAAGCAGTATAGCTGAACTTCTGCTTTCACCCAAAGATGGGATTTATCTTCTCAAATAACTAGAACACCAGAAAAAAATATGAAACAGTAGTTATCAGACACTGAACAATAGACAACATAGAACAGTCATCTATAAGAGAAGAGAAACAAATGAGGTAAGTCCTATAACTGCCCCAGCATACTCTCTGGAGAGAATTTCCAGGCCAAAATCCAGAAGGAAAAATTTAAACAAAACCTAGGAGTCTCTCTGAGTTAAGGAGATAGAACTTAGAGTTTGTAAAGGCCAAAGCTGCTAGAATTCACAGCACAGAGTACCAGAGAGGAGAGCTGCATAGAGAGAGGATTGTGGAAATATGAACAAGAATTTCCCTGAAGTCTTCAGTTAATAGCATATGTATGTAATGAAACAACCGAGGCCAAGGACATAACCAGCAGAAAGTAGTAGTGCCAGGTAAAGTTCATGTTTCCACCAGCCTGGGTAGAGATGCCTCCTAATACACAGGGCATCGAGTAGTACACTAAGAAGTATATTTTAAGTAGTGGGGCCAAATTAGAAATAGACTAAAAGTATTTGAGAAGTTACTCTAACACTTCAAGCAAGCCTGAAAATGATCACACTGTTTCCAACGATCATAACTGAATCCCAGAATAAAGCCAACGAAAAAATTTAAAGAACATGAGAAAGAGAAAAAGAGAAACATTCAGCAACAAACAATGTAAAGTTCACAATTTTTGGCATCCAATCAAAAATTACCAGGTATGCAAAGAAGCAGGAAAATGTAGTGCATAACTAAGAGAAAACATATTAAAGACAGACATAGAAATGACACAGATTAGAGAATCGGTAGACAAGACCTTAAAACAGTCATTTTAAATATTCATCATGTATTCAAAAGGTAGAAGAAATCATGAGCCAAGATGTGGAAAGAAATGGAAGGAGAGATCCAAATCTAACTTCTAGCCATAAAGATTACCATGTACAAAATGTAACTATGTGTAATAGATTGGATTAACAGCAGCTAAGATGCTGAAAAAGAAAATTTAGGTGAATTTGAAGACACAGTAATAGAACAATGCAAAATGAACTACAGAGAAAAATAGACTGAAAGGGAAAGCAGAGAATCAATGATGCCTGAACAATATCAAGTAGTCAAAGATTCAGAAGAGGAGAAAACAGATGAGGAAACAGAAGAAATATTGGAATAAAGGTAAAAAATTTGTGAAATTTGATGAACTCTCAGAATCTAAAAATCCGAGAATCACAGCCCCAAGTAGAGAAAAACCATACCAAGAGACATTATCATCAAATTTCTTAAAACTATCAATAAAGAGAAAACAGTTTAAAACAGACGGAGGGAAAAAAAAGAAAAATTACATAGAAGAAGAAGAAAGGACAGCAAATTTATCATTAGACACAAAAGAAGACAGAAGTTTAGAATGATCCTCTATGGAGAAGGAATGGTATCAGTTCAAAATTTGGATTTATATAGCAGAATGAAGGACACTGGAAATGGGAAATATATGGGTAAATATTGAAGATTTTTTCAAATATATTTAAAATATAATTATTTAAAGGGAAAATAGTCACAATCATTTATGGATTTTATACCACATAGAAAAGTAAAATATATTACAACATTAGGACAAGAGCAGGGGTGGACGCAAGTATTCTTTGGAAAGGTTCTCGTACCATATGTAAAATGGTATATTACTTGAAAGTAGGCTGTGATAAGTTAAACCTGTATACTGTAAAGCTATGGTTTCCATTAAAAAAAAAAGGCAAGTTAGAAAGAATGAGCAAGGGGATATGTGGAAAACAGCAAGCTGGAAAATTTAAGCAGAAACAGTTTTTTTAAAGCACATTAAAAGTGAATGGTATAAACATACCAAATAAAAATGATTGTTGGATGGATAAAATTTCTATGCAGTCTATAGGAAAACTCAGACAAGTAGAAAGTCCAAGAATGGAAAAATATATACTATTACAAATCAAAGGAATGCTTGAATAGCTACAGTAATATCAGGCAGAGTAGATTCTAGAGTACAGAATTTTAAAAAGAATGGTGTTATTTTATAATGGTGAAGGGATCCCTTTTTTAAAGAAGATATAACAATCCTAAATGCTATGCACCTACAAACAGCTTCAAAATATATAAAGCAAAAACTCTTTTAATTGAAAGACGAAATAGCCAAATCCAAAGTTACAGTCAGAGATCTTAACATCTCTTATTGAATAATTAATAGAAAAGACAAAATCAGCAAGGATATAGAACATTTGAAGACACTTTCAGTTTGACCTAATTGTCATTTATAGAACACTCCAGCCAACAGTAGCACAGTATACTTTCTTTTCAAGTGTATATGAAACATTTACTAAAATAGAACATGCTTTGTGCCACAAAGCAAATGTTAGAAAATTTAAAAGGATTGAAATCATAAAAAGTATATTCTCTAACCACAATGAAAATGTGTCTGAAATCAATTAGATATCTGGAAAATCCCAAATCTATGAAAACTAAACATGTCTACGCAAACTTCTAAATCAAAGAAGATATCAAAAGATAATTTAAAAGATATTTTGGGCTGAATGGAAATGAATCATAGCATATTACAATTTGAGGATGCAGCTAAAATGGTTATAGAAACCTAAAGTTTTTTATATTAGAGAAGTATTAAAGTTTAAAATAAAAAACCTAAACTTGTACCTTAAGAAAGTAAAAAAAGAAAAGCAAATTAAACCCAAAGTAAGGAGAAGAAATAATAAAGTTAAGTGCAGATGTCATTGAAATGAAAAACATGAACATTGGAGAAAATCAATGAAATTCTGTTTCTATAAAAAGATCGATAAAATTAATAGACCCTCTAGCCAGACTGATAGCAGAGAGAGGAAGAGAGAGAGAGAAGGGTGGAGATGCAAATTACTAACATCAAGAATGAGAGGGGTGACATCAATATTGATGCTACAGATGTTCAAAGGATAATAAGGAAATGCTATCAACACTTTTGTCCTAGCACCTCTTTCTTAGGGCAGAGCTTTCATCGAGTTTGTCTAAGTCTGATGGATAGGGCTAAGGTAAGTATGCTTTATGATTATGCTTTTCCATATGAATACAGACAAATAAAAATGTAAAATCTAAACTTTAAGTAAACTTTAAGTAATTCTTACTAGAAATATAATTGCTAAAACTTTTAAAACTTAATTTTAGGTACATATCAATTTTTAAGGCAACTGTAAAAGATGACATGCAAAAAACTAAAACTGCGATGAAAACGATGGGACCAGCAAAAGTTGAAGTACCTTCTCCAAAGGATTTCCTAAAGAAACATTCAAAGGAAAAACCTCTACCACCCAGTAGGTCTTATCATGCTTTCTTTTTAATATTAAAAGTGTTGGCAGGTGATTTAACTAAAATTATTTTATTGTGGATGAATATTAAACGTGCACAGGTGATAGCAACTTTACCTCATATTAAACAAAATTTGACTAGGAGAAAGTGGAATTAGAGAATGGAATAGAAAAAGATGGAGAGTGATAAATTGCCCCCCAAATAGACTTTTGATTGGGTTTGGACTATCCAATGAAACCCACATGCCTCACCACCTTAGTGCCTAGCTGTGGGGCTTCAGTTATAAACCACAATTATAGAAGGAGTCTAGACCCCAGAGACAGTGTCTGATGAATGGGCAAGACTGCCCAGCATCTAAACCCTGTCTGGCCTTTTCTCCAAGAGATGAAAATTACAACTATTACTACCAGTTGTTGAAGCAACTACTAGGCTCACTTTTGAATATGGGCTTTTACTCTCCCAGACCTCTGAGACCAACTGGACCGTAAATGAGTTAGATGTAATGGAGGAGGCTTCATGAATAAGTGGTAGAACCAGCTTAGGGCTCCATGCCTATTCTAATGCTGTGCCCTTGCTGTCCTGAAATTTTTAATTTTTGATCAAGTAGCCTTGTGTTTTTATTTTTTACTGGGCCTCAAAAATTATATAGTTGATCCCAGTTATGGAGTCTATTGATTTCAGGAAAGAAAGCTATCAGGGATAGGGAGAGTAGATGAAAAGTGATCTGTGACAGGTAGGCATGGAAGCAATAGCTTCACAGCCCAGGTATGTCTTCCCAGATGTGTTAGGGCAATAAAGAAAAGAGAGTGCCTGGACAACAAAGCAAGACCCTGTTTGTAAAAAGAAAAAAAAAGTGAATTAGCTAGATGTGGTGGCATGCACCCGTAGTCTCTGCTACTTGGGAGGCCGATGTGAAAGGATCGCTTGAGCCCAAGAGTTTGAGGTTGCAGTGAGCTATGATCAAGCCACTGCCTTCCAGCCTGGGAAACAGAGCAAGACCCCATGTCAAAAAAGAAAAAGAAAAGAGAGAGAGAGAGAGAGAGAGAGGAGAAACGAGTCTGTCTCTTCAAAATGTTGGCTTTTTATGTCTGCTGGCATCAAGGAAATAATGCAACATCTCAAGCCCAGCTATGGAAGTACATTTTAAGGAAAGTGAAACTACTTCTCCTTATGGCAGTATTTAATGGCCCAAATCCTCTCTCAACCCATATCCCATGACAAAGGGTAAAAGCACTATCAGGCAATATGGAAGAACCAAGTGTGAAACTACAATATTCATGCTTAGTTAATGCCACAGAAGTCTCTTTTGTATCCTCTAGTCTTGGCCTTTCATGACCCATAATTCTATGACCAACAATACCACTGGAAACTATGGAAAAATCTTAAAATGGAATTTGATGCTTTCAATACCTTAGGACCAATGATATCCCTTGGGTCCTCATATAGTTTCTCTAGGGTTAAGCATATGATATAACACAACTATATATAGAGATATATAGATATATAGATAGATAGATAGATACACACCTATCTCTCATTTTATAAACATTGTAAGGCAGAAGGAAACCCAAAATTTCATTGGCCTTTGGAGTAATTCATCAATTCAGGGTTCTAGGGCTGGGAACAGTGGCTCATGCCTGCAATCCCAGCATTTTGGGAGGCCAAGACAGGAGGATTGCTTTAGCCCAGGAGTATGAGACCAGCCTCAGTAACAAAGTGAAACCCTGTCTCTATAAATTTTTTTTTAAAAATTAGCTAGGTGTGCTGACGCACATCTGTGGTCTTAGCTCTATGAGAAGCCGATGTGGAAGGATTGCTTAAGCCTGGGAAGTTGAGGCTACAGTGAGCTATGATTGCATGACTGCACTCCAGCCTGGGTGACAGAGCAAGACCCTGTCTCAAAAAAAGAAATACGTACTGTTGCAAGAGCTATAAAAACAGTCCAGTGAGAGTTCTGGAGGACAGTTCCAGAGAACTAGAAGTCCAGCATCAAGGTGTCAGCAAGATTAGTTGATTTTTGCTTTTCTTCTTGGGGGATATTTTTGTCTGTTTTTAATTTTAGAGATGGGGTCTATGTTGCACAGGCTGGAATGTGGGGTGGCTATTCACAGGCATGATCAAAGCACACTGCAGCCTCACACTCCTGGTTTCAAGCAATCCTCCTGCCTCAGCCTCCCAAGTAGCTGGGACTACAGAAATGCAACACTGCACCCAGCAGGGCTGGTTTCTTCTAAAGCATTTTTCATTGGCTTGTAGATGGTTACCTTTTCCCTGTGTCTTTACATGTCCTTCCCTATATGTCTGTCTGTGTTCAAATTTCCTCTCCTAAGGACACCAGTGATATTAGATTAGTTCCTTCTCTAATGACCTCATTTTAACCTAATTACCTCTTTTAAGACCCTCTCTACAAATATAGTTACATTTTGAGATACTGGGGGTTAGGGCTTCAACATATGAATTCTAGGAGGACATAACTCAGCCCCTGACAAGATGCTAATCCAGTTCATAGACTTTTAACAATAAGCATTGGCTTTGCTGATAATAAACGTTATATAAACTCATAAAAAGGTCAAATGATGCAGAAATGAATTAAGTCAGTCCTTAGTTACTGTGATGGGGTTAAAACTGGAATAAGGCCTTGTCAAGATAGTGTTGCTTTCAGCTCTTAAAAATAAATTATTTCAGTGACCACTTGATGTTGTGCTCAATAGAAAAAAAAAAGAATAAAAATAATTAAATAAATAATTTCACCTTTTTGCATTTTGACAAACCATTTGGCTGTATCAAAATAAATCAATGGGGATGATCAAGCTGAAGAGGCTGTGTAAAAATGGCCAATTTCATCTCTTACTAATGAAGAGAAAGTGGTTTAGAGAAATAAATAAGATAAATTTTGAATAACAGTTACTTTAGAATGCAGGGAGGAATGAATAAGAAATTTCAGTTGTACTCGTCATTTATTTGTTAAGCTGCGTGTTGAGTACACAGCTATTAAATTATTTTTATACCTTATAATAATAGTTGTGGTGAAAAAAATCCATACCTTCTTGGACTTTTGATACATCAAATTTATTTACTTTACAGTAATTTTTCACTGAAGAAGAAATTATTGTCAACATTGATAGTACTCAGAAAAAGAGTTTTAATGTTTCTTGTTTAAACTTACCTCACATGGGAAAGCCAAATGTTTGTTGTTGAAATCTTTATAAGAAAATATTTTCACAATGACCAATAAAAATGTATTAGCTAGCATATAATTTGGGGTACTTATCCATATCCATATATATATATATATATATATATATATATATGTTAATATATATAATTTTTTTTGAGACAGAGTCTCACTCTGTCACCCAGGCTGCAGTACAATGGCATGATCTCAGTTCACTGCAACCTTTGCCTCCCAGGCTGAAACAATCCTCCCACCTCAGCTTCCTGAGTAGCTGGGACTACAGGTGCACACCGTCATGCTCGGCTAACTCTGCATTATTTGCAGAGATGAGGTTTCACTATGTTGCCAAGACTGATCTTGAACTCTGGAGCTCAAGTGACCCACCCGCCTCAACCTCCCAAAGTGCTGGGATTACAGGCATGAGACACTGTGCCTGGACTCCTCAACATATTAATTGATTTTGTTGCCCTTAATTTATTTCCATTTTAATTACTGACTTTTTCCCGTTTCTAAAACTCGTCTTATTGAGTCATGATTGACGGGTAAAAAGCGGTGTGTATTTAATGTCTAGAAGTCAATGCTTTTGGGGATAAGTATAAACTTCTATCTTAAATATTTAAATATATTAAGACTAAAACTTCAATATGCAAGTGGCAAAATATCTGAGTATTATAAATAGCACTGAGTAACAGTGTTTGTGGTTTAATATTAACAAAGAAATGTTGTATTTAACAGTAAAAAAGTTTGATCGGAACGTGCCCAAAAAGCCTGCTGTGCCATTGAGGACTGATCATCCTGTCATGGGAATACAGAGTGAAAAAAATTTTATAAATACAAATGCAGCCGATGTCATCATGGGAGTGGCTAAAAAGCCTAAACCAATTTATGTTGATAAAAGAACTGGAGACAAGCATGATCTTGAGCCTTCAGGACTAGTTCCAAAGTACATCAATAAAAAGGTAGCCTTGTCGTATATTAATGAGAGGCCCGAGATTCAAATAATTTAAATATGGTGTTCATAATGATCGGCTATATTATCATTATTGCTCTCATTGGACATATTGTCCATATTGCTGATTCTCATTCTTCTGCAATCTGTGTTTGGTCCAAATATAATGTGCTGAAGTTACAAAGAACTTGTAGTAAACAATTCCATATAGTTCAGTCAATGAAAGTTATTGTTGTTTTCCTTAATTTCAATTATTAATATATTTAACAGTTTTAATAAACATTCTCTGAAAGATGTTTTTGGTTAGGTAGAAATGTCACTAAAAGGAGTCATTACTGTAAATCTAGAAGGAATAAGCCATCAGATTATCTTAAGACTTAGTCATTAATTGCAGTAACTTGTCAGCTGAATAAGAAAAATGAAAAAGAATGCAGCTTTAGAACCATCCATCTCATCAATGTAGTATAAATAATTCACATTCCTATTTTCACATGAATATGTTTATTTGGTTTTGGTCTTAGGTAAAGCCTTGAAAGTACTGTACAATAATCTAGTCCTTTTGGGTCCTTCATTTGTATCTGAAAGGGTGTTTATCAGATAGGCATCTAATTTCACTGGTAAACCTTATAGTTGAAACCTAGTTTTTTTTGTTGTTTTTTTTTTTTTTTTGAGATGTATTCTCATGCTGTTGCCAAGGCTGGAATACAGTGGTGCAATCTTAGTTCACTGAAACCTCCAGCTTCGGGTTCAAGTGATTCTCCTGTCTCACCCTCCCAAGCAGTTGGGATTACAGGCATGTACCACCAGGACTGGTTAATTTTTGTATTTTTAGTAAAGAGGAGGTTTGACCATGTTAGCCAGGCTGGTCTCAACTGTTGACTTCAAGTGATCTGCCCACCTCAGCCTCCTAAAGTGCTGCGACTGCAGATGTAAGCCGCCACACCCAGCCAAATACAGATCTTTAAAATAAAAAAATCTTAAAAAAAAATTATATTTTAATGCACTTTAGGTTCTGGGGTACATGTGCGGAACATGCAGGATTGTTGCATAGGTACATACATGGCAGTGTAGTTTGCTTCCTCCATTCCTGTCACCTGTATCTGGCATTTCTCCCCATGTTATCCCTCCCCAACTCCCTACCCCCCACTGTCCCTCCCCAGTCCCTCCCAACAGGCCCTAGTGTGTGATGCTCCCTTCTCTGTGTCCACGTGTTCTCATTACTCAACACCCGCCTGTGATTGAGAACATGTGATGTTTGATTTTCTGTTCTTGTGTCAGTTTGCTGGGAATGATGGTTTCCAGATTCATCCATGTCCCTACAAAGGACATGAACTCAATGTTTTTTATGACTGCATGGTGTAAATGTGTCACATTTTCCTTGTCCAGTGTATGATCAATGGGCATTTGGGTTGGTTCCAGGTCTTTGCTGTTGTAAACAGTGCCACAATGAACATATGTTTGCATATGTCTTTATAATAGAATGATTTATAATCTTCTGGATATATACCCAGTAATGGGATTGCTGGGTCACATGGAATTTCTATTTCTAGGTCCTTGAGGAATCACCACACTGTCTTCCACAATGGTTGAACTAATTTACACTCCCACCAACAGTGTAAAAGTGTTCCTATTTCTCCACATTCTCTCCAGCATCCCTTGTCTCCAGATTTTTTAATGATCACCATTCTAACTGGCATGAGATGGTATCTCAATGTGGTTTTGATTTGCATTTCTCTAATGACCAATGATGATGAGCATTTTTTCATATGTTTGTTGGCCTCATGTATGTCTTCTTTTGAAAAGTGTCTGTTCATATCCTTCGCCCACTTTTGAATGGGTTTGTTTTTTCTTTTAAATCTGTTTTAGTTCTTCGTAGATTCTAGATATTAGCTTTTTGTCAGATGGGTAGATTGAAAAAAAATTTTCCCATTCTGTTGGTCGCTGGTTCACTCTAATGATTGTTTCTTTTGCTGTGCAGAAGCTCTGGAGTTTAATTAGATCCCATTTGTCAATTTTGGCTTTTGTTGCCAATGCTTTTGGTGTTTTAGTCATGAAGCCCTTGCCTATGCCTATGTTCTGAATGGTTTTGCCTAGGTTTTCTTCTAGGTTTTTTATGGTGTTAGGTCTTATGTTTAAGTCTTTAATCCATCTGGAGTTAATTTTAGTGTAAGGTGTCAGGAAGGGGTCCAGTTTCTGCTTTCGGCATATGGCTAGCCAGTTTTCCCAACCCCATTTATGAAACAGGGAATTCTTTCCCCATTGCTTGTTTTTGTCAGGTTTGTCAAAGATCAGATGGTTGTAGATGTTTGGCGTTACCTCTGAGGCCTCTGTTCTGTTCCATTGATCCATATCTCTGTTTTGGTACCAGTACCATCCTGTTTTGATTACTGTTACATTGTAGTATAGTTTGAAGTCAGGTAGCGTGATGCCTCCAGCTTTGTTCTTTTTGCTTGGAATTGACTTGGCTATGTGTACTCTCTTTTGGTTTCATATGAAGTTAAGGTAGTTTTTTCCAGTTCTGTGAAGAGGGTCATAGTTAGCTTGATGGGGATAGCATTGAATCTATAAGTTACTTTGGGCAGTATGGCCATTTTCACAATATTGATTCTTCTTAACCATGAGCATGGAATGTTTTCCCATCTGTTTGTGTACTCTCTGTTTTCCTTGAGCAGTGGTTTGTAGTTCTCCTTGCAGAGGTTCTTACATCTTTTGTTAATTGTATTCCTAGGTATTTTATTCACTTTGCAGCAATTGTGAATGGCAGTTCATTCTTAATTTGATTCTCTTTAAGAATGTTATTGGTGTATAGGAATTTTACATACTTACAAAGCTTAAAAGTGCTTCAAATGCACAAAATATGAATGCAGGCTTGGCACAGTGGCTCACACCTATAATCCCAGCACTTTGGTGGACAGGGCAGATTGCTTGAGGTCAGGAGTTCAAGTCCAGCCTAACATGGTGACACCCCGTCTCTACTAATAATACAAAAATTAGCCAGGCCTGGTGGTGTGTGCCTGTAATCCCAGCTACTTGGTGGCTAAGGCACAAGACTCACTGGATCTTGGGAGGCCAGGTTTGCAGTGAGCCAAGGTCTGTGCACTCCAGCCTGGGTGACAGAGCAAGACACTGTGTCAAAAAAAAAAAAGTGCAAATTCTAAAGAATAATAAGTTGCAACAAGAAGAAATGGAGGAAGAGAGGGAAAAAGAAAATAAAGGAAAAAGGAGAGGAGAAGAGAGGAGAAAAGAAAAAAAAGAAAAGAAAAGAAATTGCAATAGTGATGTACAGGGGCCTTGAATCGAAGAGTCCAGTGATCTACCATGATAAATCCAATGCCAGCTGAAATCAAAACAGAAATCTCAAAGCTGTTTTCGGAGGATGCTGTCTTCTTAGCAATCTACGAGTTGGCAGGATAAGCCAATAAAGTTACTTCAGGCTTCTCCAGGTACTTCCTCCTCCTGTGACCTCGGGAAACTGTTTTATAGTCCTTGTCCCGTAGGATGGGGAAAAGCAGAAAACTCACTCTCCTGGCCTTTAAAGCCATTTCGAATCCGTCATTTCTCCATGATCATATGCAAAGTATTTGATGGTCATGCCACCACCTGTCACACACTGTGCCTCTCCTTCTGGCTGTTCTCTAAACTGCCCACTTTAATGCATTTTCTACCTTGAACAGGAAATTTGGAGTACCCATCATGGAAACAGAAAAATACCAGATCTACCTATGCTTGTTAACCAAACCATGAAACGACTGTGCACCTAATGTCCTTTTGATGTTGCTGACTAAGCAATCAGTGCTCATTAAAGATATATTCAATTTACTTTTCTCTTATCAGAGTTAAGTTTTAAAGATCTATTACCTGGCCAGGCACAGTGGCTCATGTCTGTAATTCCAGCACTTTAGGAGGCCAATGCAGGCAGATCAAAGGTCAGATTGAGACCATCCTGGCTAACATGGTGAAACCCCATCTCCACTAAAAATACAAAAATAATAATAATAATAATTAGCCAGGCATGGTGTGCGCCTGTAGTCCCAGCTACTCAGGAGGCTGAGGCAGGAGAATTGCTTGAACCCAGGAGGCAGAGGTTGCAGTGAGCCAAGATCATACCACTGCACTCCAGCCTGGGTGACAGAGTAAAACTCCATCTCAGAATTTAAAAAAATATGTATTATTGATAGGTGAGACAGTAAATAAATTCTTTTAAAAGCAATGTCATATTTTTATAAAATTAGTAAACTCATGTTTTAGTTCCAAGTGTATTATATGCCATTCATACCATGAGAAACAATTTCTGGAAACAAACAAGGATAGATGATCACATGAGGTATTTAGCAATAGTAGTAAAGACACCATTTCAGATTCTAACTCTGCCACTTAGTAACTGTGATTTCCAACAGTTCACTGCATTTATCACAGGATTGTAGTGAGAATTAAATAATATAAAGTATATTTACCACTTGACACAAAATGTGACACATAGTAAAAGAACAAAGAGTGAATATAATATATGCAGTTTTATTAACAGTATGCATTAGCCTTTGGTGATTCAGCCCATAGGAATATTTCAGATCACTGAAGCTTTTGCTCATTTGTGAGTTTTTTTAAGGAATTGTATCATGCCATTCCCTTTCTTTTTTTAAAAAAATTAATCACTGTCAGTCCTTGTGAAAAAATAATTTAATTTTTTAAAAGATGGGAGTCTCACTACGTTGCCCAGGCTGGTCTTGAACTTTTGGGCTCAAGAAATTCTCCTGCCTAGGTGTCTCAAAGTACTGGGGTTACAGGCATGAGCCCCTGTGCCCAGTCATTCTCCTTCTTAAACAGAGTATGCCAAATATAATTTAATCTTTTTGTGATCCTGCAGAATCATCATGATGAGCCTCCGTTATTGTACTAAGCTGTAATGAGGTGTTTCCCGAAGTGGATTGGCCTGTCTCACTGCATCAACTGACCAGAATACTGGGCTCCCAGAGTTTATTTGTATTGTCCTCTGCAGCTTCCAGAACACATTTATATCTAGGATTTCTACCCCTTGTTCAGTCAGGATGGGTTAAGTTATGTTGTGATGACAACCCCCAAATTTCAGTACTTAAAGCAACATAGTGTTATTGTGTGCTTTCGCCACATGCCCTTTGAGGGTTGTTAGAGGCTCTGCTTCGTGTTGTCCTTCTCTAAGGACCCAAAAAAAGCTCAACATTGCTTGTCACTAGACGAGACAGGAAAAGACACAGCAAGTCATCCACTAGTTCTTCAGGCTTCTATCCAGAAGTGACCGAGGTCACCTCCACTGACATTGAGCAAGTCAGGCCATATGACAATGTCTTACTTTATGAGGACAACACGGGGAAGAGTTTCCTACCAAGTGTCCAGAAGGAGAACAGAATATTTGTCAATATTTTAATAAGTATCATACCTCCTCCCAACTGCTGCTTTTTCAGAGAGATTTCCCCCAACCTCGTGTATTTAAAATAGCCCTTACTATTTTCTTTGCCCTCAATATCCTTTTTTCACTTCAGAACACATACATATTATTTCATGTTCTATTCTTGTTGAGTCTCTGTCATCATAGAATGCAAATTCTGTGAAGACAGAAACTTTGCCTTATTGGCTAGTATACCTAGCACCAAGTACATTCTCCAATATTTTTTGAAGAAGGAATACATAGTAGTTCGGTTTCTCTGGACGGTGGAATCAAACGCATTTATTAAACTGAAAAACACACACACACACACACACACACACACACACAGCTAATTGCTTCACCGTCAGTCCTTGTAAAAGGGAACAGTTCCCTTATTCCCCTCGCAGGGCATGCGACAGGGGCGTGGCTCCCTTATTCGGGGCTCCTCGGCTCACACCTCTAGGGGCAGCAAGCAGACGGGCAGGCTCCGCGGCGTTGTCCATGGGTGAATGTTGACAGCTCCTAAGTCCCAGGGGGCGCTTGTTACAGGGCGCTCTTTTAGTTTAGCTGTCCCCAGGCGGCTTGTGTTAGCTCAGTTAGACCCCCGCTTTATCACAAGGACAGAGGGCTTCCCGAGGGCTTTCTGTATCCCAGGATTCTTGCCTTAGTATACTGAAAGAATCACATGTGGGCTTGGAGAACGAGTGCCAGGGTTTTGTTTTGGTTTGGTTTTGGTTTTGGTTTGTTTGTTCGTTTGTTTGTTTTGAGATGGAATTTCGTTCTTGTTGACCTGGCTGGAGTTCAAGGGCACGAACTCGGCTCATCGCAACTGCTGCTTCCTGGGTTCGAGCGAGGCTCCTGCCTCAGCCTCCGAGCACAAGGTTTTATTGAGTGGAAGTAGCTCTCAGTAGATGGGGGAGCCAGGAGATGGTTTTTCCCCGGAGCCCAGCGGCTCAGTGGCCCCGGCTCTCCTCTGACTACCCCGGCCAAACTCCACGTTGTTCCACAGGTCGATGGCCCGCAGGCATGACAGTGCCCATCGGTGTGCCCCTGTCAACAGCCTCCGCTTGTGTGTTCTTCCACCGATGTGTTCCCCTCCACGTCCAGTCACTTGTGTGCCTGCCTGCTAGGGTCTCGGGGGACTTTATAGGCACAGGATGGGGGTGTGGCAGGCCAGGGTGGTCTTGGGAAATGCAACATTTAGGCGGGAAAACAGAAATGCCTGTCCTCACCTAGGTCCATGGGCACAGACTGGGGATGGAGCCCTCACCAGGGACCCCACTCTTCTCTACCCAGCACCTCCCTGCCTGCCTTCCATAGCCCTTGAAGCAGCCCGGGAGCTACACCTGTCTTTTTTTTTTTTTTTTTTTGGGAAAAAGAACCTGAGAATCCCTAGTCAATTTCCTCTTAAAGCTGATATTCTTGGTATCTTTTAAACATTTCTTTTTATAATGTTTTGGAAGAGTTTCTCTTAACAAGACCACAAAAAAATAGACTTCAAAATATTCAACATATTTCAGGTAAAAACTGAAGATTATAAAAGGTAGAAATGCTAACTCTTGAGTATCTCATTTCAAGATATTTCAGGTAAAAACCGAAGAACATGGAAGGTCGAAAAGCCAACTGTTAGGAGTCAAGTGTCAGCTAAGAACAGGTGTGGAAAACATTCAGAAAAGGAAAAACAAGCAATCACAACTACTATTTATTTATTTAGAGATGGAGTCTCACTCTGACACCCAGGCTAGAGTGCGGTGGCGCCATCATGGCTCACTGTAACCTCTGCCCCCCGGATTCAGGAGCTTTTTGTGCCTCAGCCTCCTGAATAGCTGGAACTACAGACACACACCACCATGCCTGGCTAATTTTTGTATTTTTAGTAAAGACAGGGTTTCACCATGTTGACCAGGCTGGTTTGAACTCCTGACCTCAAGTGATCTGCCCCAGTCAGCCTCCCAAAGTGCTGAGATTACAGGTGTGAGCCACCATGCCCAGCCAATGACAACTTCATTTTAAAAGGCAGGAATCTACTAGCTCTCAGTGGTGGGGGAAAATCACTGAATTTTGTCGATTAACAGGGTTCTGAGCAAAGGCTTTACATCTGTACCATTTCTTTTTCTCCCATCATTGGCTGATATATAAACATACATAAGATTGCATGCAGAATACTGATTACTTGGCCGGGCACAGTGGCTCACGCCTGTAATCCCAGCACTTTAGGAGGCTGAGGCAGGTGGATCATGAGGTCGAGAGATGGAGACCATCCTTGCCAACGTGGTGAAACCCCATCTCTACTAAAAATACAAAAATTAGCTCGGCATAGTGGTGGACACCTGTAATCCCAGCTACTCTGGAGGCTAAAGCAGGAGAATCGCTTGAACCCAGGAGGTGGAGATTGCAGTGAGCAGAGATAGCACCACTGCACTACAGCCAGGGTGACAGAGCGAGACTCCATCTCAAAAATATATATATATATTGATTACTTTTTTCTGCAAAATCTTTTTAGGATTATGGTGTCACACCTGAATACATATGTAAGCGAAACGAGGAAATAAAGAAAGCCCAAGAAGAATATGATCATTATATCCAGGAAAACCTTAAGAAAGCAGCTATGAAAAGGGTCTCTGATGAAGAAAGGGAGGCAATTCTGCAGGTGTGTGTTCTGCAATTTATGTTCCTCTGTAACTCTGTGTAATATCTCTGAAAGAAAGGTGTACCATCCCCTTGATGATTAAAGCCAGCACTTTTTGAAATCAGAACAATATCTTTTGGTTACAGTGAAAAACTACATGCAGCAAAGCTGACTCTTCGAAGGGAGCAAAAAGTTGTAATATTGGGATTCATCAAATAATATTTTATTTCCATTTTGGTGAACTGTTTTTTTTCCTGAGCTAGGGTTGTAAGAAAGCCTACCTTCCTCTACAATGAACTCGCACCAATAAGGCAAATAAAGCCTTTTCATTTCTATGCCTCTGAGTTTGTAAAAAAAATAATATTCATAAATTAGATATTTTTCACTAGATGGAGCTCTAGAATAATTGAAACTGTCCTTAAACCAACTTTTTTTTTCTTTCCTATAAGCCAAATGTCCAAAATTTTAAATAAACAGGTGTTAGGTTTCACACATGTTTTTCTTGTTTTGAATTAAATAGACTTAAAGATATATTTATATTGGATTTTTTAATGCAGGACTTTTATCTGAAGCATTTAAAATATTAAGGGGTGTGACCAGGGTTTCTGCTTTATTATTGGCACCTCTTTGTACTTTTTATAGTCATGCTGTCTCTTAAAGAAATAATACTTAATTCTTTTATTTTCTTTTGAAAGCATCTTACAAAACGATTTCTAGTCTTATTAATATCTGTTGAAAAATGGATTCATATGCTATCACAAATTTTTAACATGTTGTCAATGTTATAATCATCATAAACATTTCTTAAATGCCAAACTCTGAGGATATTTTAAAAGGCATAAGATTTTTTTAAATGTCTGTTCTGGAGAATTGTGCAATTTAATTGGTGAAAGGTATTTTGGATCTGTGTACATGTGTAGATGTGAATCTGTGTATGTGTGCAGCTCCTAAGTTTCATAAGGGTCCAAGGCACTAGTCACCCTGGCGTATTATGGATCTTTAGCTGGGCCTGAAAATGTACAGTGACAGCACATCCCAGACAGTAGGAGTGGCTGAAAGACAAGGATGGCATCTCTTTGCTGACAGCAGCATCCCCAGTGCCTAGCACAGTGCCCAGTGAAAACGCAGATGTTCAGAAATGGTCTGCTGCAAAAGAGAAGGCAGACAGGCAGGAAGGAAGGCTGGCAGACATGGAAGTGAGAATTGGCATGTCATTTTCAGGGGGAGTTCTGGTCTGTGGCCCATTCTGTCTCTCTCATTTGGATTTTCCCATTTTCAGAAAGTACGTGCCTTTGTGAAAGCCAGGTTTTTACACCTAAATGATGCTGAAAAATAGGAATACAGTATAGAAATTAGAAGTGACAGGTCCTTCCCTTCTGTGTCTTTTTGGCTGTAGGGGATAAGCAGTCCTCAGCTCCTATTATAGTCACTACAGAGCTACTCTTTGATGTGACAATAGCAAATCCTCCACTGGATGCCTTATGAACCAGGGAGCGGAGCTGCCATAGTAACGAAGCCACTGGCTGGCCTCCTGATGAGCCCTGAGCCACACTTCCTTCCCTGGGCAAGAGTCGCATGTAGTTCTATGACAATCTGGTTGTATATCCCTTAGTAAGCCACACTCTGCTCATTCTTCATAAAATAACTGTCTCATTATACCTGGACAGAATCATCTGGTCTAATGATTACAAACTTCTCATTTTTAAAATAAGGACTATATATATATGGAATGAATAATAATAACATATATTTATATGCTATCACTCTACATTTTCAGGTCAACTAAAGAACTATAATCCTCCAGTGGTGACTAGTGCCTTGGAACCTTGTGAAACGTAGGAGCTGCACACATACACACATTCACATCTACACATGTGCATACATCCACAGTACCTCCCACCAATTAAATTGCACAATTCTCTATACATATTTTATATATATAAATTATATATAACGTATAATATATATAAAAAAATTTTATTTGTATATTTTATATATATCTTTTTTTTTTTTTTTTGAGATGGAGTCTTGCTCTGTTGCCCAGGCTGGAGTGCAGAGGCATGATCTTGGGTCACTGCAACCTCCACCTCCCAGGTTCAAGTGATTCTCATGCCTCAGCCTCCCAAGTGGCTGGAATTACAGGTGCACACCACCACACCCACCTAATTTTTTTGTATTTTTTAGTAAAAATGGGGTTTTGCCATGTTGCCCAGGTCGGACTTGAACTCCTGGCCTCAGGTGATCCGCCCACCTCAGCATCCCAAAGTGCGGGTATTACAAATGTGAGCCACTGTGCCCAGCCCATAATACAAATATATTAAGTGGGCCCCTTTATTGAGTCATTTATTTATGAACATCTACTGTGTTCCAGCCAGAGGGATACTGTAGAGAGCAAAATAAACACAGTCCTCAGTGTCAGTGAACTTAGAGTTGGCTTTCATTTGCCCTTGGTCACAAAACTATCAAGTGCATCAATAAAGACTAAAACTCATTTACCTAATGCTGGGCTGGTGTTTACCCCACTACAGAACACGTACATGCAGAGGAGGTAACAAAGGGAGGCTGCTTGGGTCGGGGCTCTAGCAGGAAATCAAAGGCACACTCAGCTGGGACTTGGAAGAGAATTTATGTTTGTTTATTTTATGTATTTATTTGACACAGTCTTGCGTGTTGCCTAGGCTGGAGTGCAGTGGCATGATCACGGCTCACTGCTAGCTGGAACACCACCATGCCTGGCTGATTTTTTAATCTTTTATTTTTTTATTTCAATTTTTTTATTTTTAGAGAGGGAGTTTCACTATGTTGCCCAGGCTGGTTTCAAATTCCTGGCCTCAAGCAATCCTCCTCCCTCAGCCTCCCAAAGTGCTGGGATTACAGGCGTGAGCGGTGGCCACTGAAGAGAATTTATGAAGGAACTATCGACAGAAGTGCAGTAGGATTAAGGGAACGAACAAGGAACACTGAGGCACCGCAGGAGTAAGGACAATGGGAATTCACCACCACCTAGGCTTGAAGGGCAGCAGGCACAAGCAGCAGTGTTCTCAGAATCCACTGAGAGCTGGGCTGAGGGTCACAGTCACAGATGAATGCAGTGAGAACCAGTGTCCAGACAGTGTCCTAGGAGAGAAGGAGAAATGCCCCAGCCTCACGCTTCTCCCTCCAGGACTTTCTGTGGCTGAACTCAGGCCAGAGGGTGAGAGAGCTGGGAGCACCCCACAAAGTGGAGAATGTTTGTGGGTGGGCAAGGGTACAAAAGGAGCATGGGACTGAAGGCATTTATTATAAAATCACTTCTCCCTGTGATTTTTTTCCCCAAAATGAACAGTATTATTTTAGCATTAAAATAGAAGAGAGGAAAGTTAAGAAATAAAAATAAGGGAAAATCGCAATTGCTGCAACACATGAAATCTCTTTTTAGATGAAATAACAACAACAACAAAAAAAACCTCTTAAAGACAGCAAGTAGCCTATTTCAATATAATATGAACGATCAGCTACATTTAGTTTCCGTCCCAGCTGTTGACTTTGATCCAAACATTATTGTACACACTGGAAGATAAAAGCAAACTATCCTTTAAAAGAAAATACAGAGAAAAACTGTAGCTGCTGTGACTGCAAGTAATATGGAAATAGCACCCAACTAGCTATGAAAAACCTTTGATATCCGCAAGCGTATAAATACATAGACTTCCTCTCTGCAGTAGACACCCCTGTGGAGCACTGTGGGAACCTACTTCACATTTCATAAAGAAAGACTGGAGTAATAGAATTCTTTTGAGGGCTGCTTTTTGGAATACATCGCATACGCTATCAAGAACTGTGTAGCCTCCTCTTCTTAAAAGTTAACCTGGATACTTTTTCTTCTGTCCTTCCCCTTTCCCAGATTCTTAGCTTATTCAAGAAGCCCTCATAATTTGTTGCCCTTTTCCCCAACCAACGTATTTCATACAGTGTGCCTGACCTGTCGTCATCTTTTATCTAAGCATGGAAAAAAATCATTGAACTATTACTGTCCCTGAAAGTTTCTACAAGATTACATTTGTAGCACAAGAGCTTACAATGAGGGCATTATTATATGAGGCACTTCTGATCCTCTTTTACTAAATGCATGGTCATGGTTTCCAAAGACCATATTTTCAAGGCAGTATTTTAAGTTTTGGGGTTTTTGGTTTGGGTTTTGTTTTCAGCCTCCCAAAGAGCTGGGATTACAGGTGCAAGGCAACACTTTCGGCCTAGTGAAATCTTTCGTAAGACTATTTATTTATATTTATTTGTTTATTTATTTTTGAGATGGAGTCTCACTCTGTTGCTCGGGCTGGAGTGCCATGGTGCAATCATGGCTCACTGTAGCCTCAACCTCCTGAGCTCAGGTGATCCTCCCACTTCAGCCTCTCAGGTAGCTGGGACTACAGGTGCATGCTACCACACTGGGCTAATTTTTTTGTATTTTTTGTAGAGACAGGGTTTTGCCATGTTGCCCACGCTGGTCTCAAACTCCTGAGCTCAAGCAATTCACCTGTCACGGCAGGATCTTAAATCGCTCCTTCTGCTTTGCTTTTGTGTAAATAAAACAATCTATGTGCCCATAATGAATAATAAAAAAAGCTGACTTATAAAGTTTTATTGAATTAATTTAGTTAGTAGTATAAGACCATTTTGACTGTGAAGCCCATAGGGCACTGTGAAAAAAAGATGACAATTATGCAGAAACACAAATAACCTTTATTGTTCCTAAGAGATCCCTCATTTTGAATTTGTTGATTTCTGAGAATATAAATTGTTAGCTACATTATTGAATTAGCATGTGTGTTACATTTAATGACCTTTCAATCATTTATATAATGCATTAATGGGAAATATGGATCCCTTGACTATATGGAGAGCAATTGTTTCTTTCTAAGATATTGAAAAGACAATGGCCATGCACATCAGAATTAGTTTTTTTTAAATGTGATTTCTCTGTTGAAGAATGAGGATAAAAAAAGAAAATTTTACAGAACAATTTGCTTTTCAAAAATGTTTTGGATTCAGGGATGTCATTTTAAGTGTTTTTTACCCATGCATTTGCTATGAGCTTAACTCCATGCTCCTCATAACTCTGCATGTACATTTTTGACGGTAAAAACAAGTACAGTAACAACAAAAACATGGCAAACAAATACTCCCAGTGGGAACTGAACACACAGTCAAGGATGGGATTTGGCCTCTGTACAGTATTTTTGGTTACTGTGGCCAAGTACTTGATAAATATGTTTCATTTTAGAAGTTACTGTCAGTTTCCTTTACCTATTGACATTGTTCATTACAGATTAACTTTTCCAATTTCCTTTACTTTTGCAGTTTGCTTTGGCATTTACAAGTTTCTCCACCATTTGCAGGGGCTGAAAAAGAACTGGGAAGAGGTGCATAAAGAATTCCAGTCCCTCTCAGTCTTTATAGATTCCATACCAAAGAAGATTCGCAAGCAGAGGCTGGAAGAGGAAATGAAGCAACTGGAACACTACATTGGTGTCATTGAAAAGCACAAAATTATTTATATTGCCAATAAGTAAGAATGGATCTTTAAAGTATAGAGATTTCAATGTAGGGAAAAAACCATGGAAAATATAAAAATAAAACTATAAGTTTTTCATAAAGGAAAATACTATGAAGAGAATAAATATAGTCTTAATCAGAATGCTTAGGCAATGTTCAAAGAATAATTGAGTTATTCACTTACACAAGAAGAAATTTTGTTTTTACTAGTGTTTTCCACATACAAACTATTCAAGTTTGAGACTATGTGTTCCAGTTCCATAATGTAATTCGTTATTATTCTGTACTTGTTTCACATACACATTAATTTCTAGATCCTGAAAATAAAGTCAGCACTCAGAACTTCAAGTCGTTGTTTTTTGTTTTTTGTTTGTTTGTTTTTTTTTTTCTGCAGTGCCTGATCCAAACAGCACAACTTTGAAAAGTGTTAAGTATGTTGAACTGGAAATAGTAACATGTGCCTTCTTACTGCTCTAAAGTGTCTCCAACCCATTGTTTCTGAGCTCTACAAATGCAAAAGATGTATTTTCTGGTGGCCCATGGCATTTGTAGTTATTCCCAATGATAAATATTTTCGGTATTTATAACGCTGTATATGATGAATGGCTTCTATTTGTAGGAAGAAAAATTAAGAAGACAACTTACAAAATCAAGAGGACGACTTGTAAAAGGCATCACTGAGTCTGTGATGGAGAACAGCCTCCCTTCTGGCATAGCAACTTCGCTACTCTTGTTTTATTCCACAGCTCACTATGCAAATCTTATTTAGATATGTATTTGTTTCTTTTGATCCTTTCTACTTATCTATTTTGTGAATTCTAATTCTAATCACTTGTAAGATTACATTTTTTTTTTGAGATGGAATCTCACTCCGTTGCCCAGGCTGGAGTGCAGTGGCACGATCTTGGCTTACCGCAACCTCCGCCTCCCAGGTTCAAGCGATTCTCTTGCCTCAGCCTCCTGAGTAGCTGGGACTACAGGCATGCATCACCACACCTGGCTAATTCTTGTATTTTTTAATAGAAACAAGGTTTCACCATATTGGACAGGATGGTCTCCAAACTCCTGAGCTCAGGTGATCTGCCTGCCTCAGCCTCCCAAAATGCTGGGATTACAAGCGTGAGCTGCCACGCCCAGCCAAGACTACATAATCTATTAAACAGTAAGTTTATGTTGGTAGAGCTGTTTTCATCGCAACTAAGAAAAATAGCTTAAATATCTAAGAGAAAAAGGTTATTTTTTAAGTTTTAAATTAGAAAAATTTGGTAAAATATATGCAACCATAAAATAGCAGATAAATAACAATTTCTACTGCTTACACTGGTTTTTATCCTCTGGACAACATAATAAACAAAATATGAGAGTCTTTCAAGCTTTTTTTCACACAGGATTTGGGAGCCTTATAGAAAAACTTATTTTGGTTAAAGAAAAATAGTTTATATACAATTATTTTTTGAAAATTCACTTGAAACTTGTCTGTATGAGTCTGTTTTTTTATTCCTTTATTAACTTAGGGCAGATATAAAATAAAGGATAATATGTGATAAATTCTTACTTATCAAGAATGGTTGGTTGCTATTTAGGGTAGGCTAACAGCTATGACAATACACTCCAAAATGTATAATTACATAAACAGAAATTCAGTTTTTGCTGACATAACTGTATTTTGCTGTGAGCAGGTCAGGAGCAACCCTTTTCTGGATTCACTCAGGGACCCAGACTTACAGAGTGGGTAGCCTGCATCTGATCCAGAGTTAGGGAGAGCCACGTACAGGCCAGGCCTAGAAATGGTGCATATCATTCCTGCTTGCATCACTAAGTAAGCAACTTAAGTTGCTTTAACAAACTAACTCCAGATCTTGGTTGCCTGATACAGATACATTTTTCATTTACATTACTGTGCAATGTGACAAAGGGTGGAGGTACAACTCTCTTCCATGCAGTCACTCAGGGACCCAGTCTCTTTTTGTCTGGTGGCTCTATTGTTCCAGCCAGCCTTTCGCTGACAGTTCAGGATGAGATGTTTAGGTTAGCATTTTATTTGTGAGACGATTGCTCTGCATGTGCATTTTTAAATAATTCAAAATCAGTAGCAATGCACAAATATTCTAATTACTTCAGCCTTATGGATATTATGCTTTGAAGTCATCAGTGGGAGTTGCCTTAAATGTTAAAAAGAAAACTTTGTGGTTTTAACAGATTATTCTTCTTTTGCTTTCTGTAAAAGTCTACTAAAGAATTTAGACTTTTCTCCATGGCCCACAGTGTTGTCCTAGATGGACTTCATTGCCTTTCTTTCATACAGCCTTCAGAGGGAAACATTCCCATCCATTGATCCTGGGAGGGTGATTCCTACCATGGAATCCCAACCTCGGATACAGTGAGTGCAACCTCCCCTAATCCATATACACACATACCTGGGTCATCCTATCAGCCAGAAGAGGGACAAACACCTGACTTGGACAGCTGGCCAGTGACTGATCAGATTCTCTCTCTTGAGAGCATGAATTAAGAGACATACAGACTGCAGTCACTTGGGAGTGGACACTTGAAACTAAAAGGTCAAACTTCATTACACAGCTAGTTTGACTTGTTTTCTCTTTCTGTTCAAAGAAGAATGGGTAGAATAAAGATTTGATGTGGCCTGGACCCTTGCCTATGATCCTTTTAGCTTCATTTCTTGAAACGCTGTTTGTTCCCTACCCACTGTAACTGACATTCCCATAGAACTGAGTACTAGAGACCTTTCAGATCTGCACACATGGTTCCCTCCACCCAGAAAACTGCCCTTTTTTTCTCTCATCCTGTATAACTACCTGGCAAATCCCTAGTCTTCATCAGCTCACATCACATTTCCATGACAATCCTCTTTGATTCCTCAGATTCTGACCATCCTTTAATAGCACTGGTCATATGGTATCGTGCATATCTGGTATTTGCCTGTTTTCCATGAAATTGCAAGCTTATGAGGAAAAGGTACTGTGTATTTTTTTATCTGCATTCCCTAGAATCTGCAAAACAGTTGGTACAGAGAAGGTACCAAAAATAATCCTTAATGAATACAGTAATGAACTGTACCCAAGTATATTTTAATGATCTTTTGACATTATTGTTGTGACATAAATCAGACTTGGAGGATAGAGAATTTGGCTGCTAACCAAACCAGTTGATTCCATACCAATCAGTTAATACATAATCAACGTAGGAGGAGGCAGTTTCACATGGTGCTTAAGAGCTCAGGTACCGGAGTCAAGCAGCCTCAGGTTCGCATTCCAGCTCAGCTGCTTACTAACTGTGCTACATACAACCTTTCTAAGCCATATTTTCCTTTCCTGTAAATGGGATTGCCAACCCATTCATGATCTATAGAGTTATGATGAGAATGAATGGCACAATATGTGCATACAGCATAACCCCTGGTAAGTAGAAAGACAATGAACTTAAATACTATGACTTGCTCTTAAGAACTCTCTTTCAATTCCATAGTCCTTTTGTCCAGTTGGTGCTAGACCCATTAGCATACTTCCAATAGACATTCCCAGAAATAAAATCTGGTTGCAGGAAAGTACTTGATTGAACGGCTTAAAAGTACTAGCCTGAGAATAGCCTAGCCTGGTTAATCTCTTCAGTAGCACACACAGATGGTAGCTATATTTGGTAACTTTTATGTCTAGTAACTGGCAAAAATTTGGCAGTACTTCCTAAGTTACTCAGCACAGGCATTCCAAAAAGGAAGATAAGCTAAAATCAGTAATGATAGACACTGAGGAGAAAGGTCTGCAAGGTTGTGTCCAACAAAGCTTCATGGGTGATATTTATTAGTGAATTAATGTGGCCCGGGACTTGACCTGAGGGCCCATGCTTCACGGTTCTCAGGAACTCAGAGTCAGATGCACGTGAATTAAAGTCTATGTGAGCTTGAGTTATTGCCTGGACATCGATTTTTAAATTAAGAAATACCTCTCAGCTAAATAAATCCCCATAATCAGTGTGTTCTGTCCCACTTGTCAAGCCATGTGGGAAAATGAATCATAATCAAAAGGTACTTTGGGTCAGGTGCAGTGGCTTATGTCTATAATCCCAGACGTTGGGAGGCTGAGGTGGGTGGATCACTTGAGGTCAGGAGTTCAAGACTAGCCTGGCCAACATTGTGAAAGCCTGTCCCTACTAATAATACAGAACTTAGCTGGACATGGTGGTGCACACCTATAGTCCCAGCTACTCAGGAGGCTGAGGCAGGAGAATCACTTGAACCCGGGAGGTGAAGGTTGCAGCGAGCCAGGATGGTGCCACTGCATTCCAGCCTGAGCGACAGAGCTAGACTTCATCACAAACAAACAAACAAAAAACACCCAACAGGTACTTTGGCTAAAACAGAGTCACAAGAAAAAAGAAATGTAGATTGTTTTATAAAAAGCCTGTCAGCTGACACAGCTCACTCACTGTCGTCCAACCCGTATTGACTCTCTGCTATGTGCCAAGAACTGTTCTAGTTGCTGGGCGTGTAATGATGAACAAAATAGCTATGTTGGGAAGACAGAAATAATCACACAAATATAATGCATTTATAATTAGAAATTGAAATTGGTGTTTCGAGAGAAAAAAAAAATAGGATGCTTTGCAAGAGAATATCAAGGGAATCCTAAATCAGATTTTGTAGAATCTGACATTTTAAATAAGACTGAGGAATTAGTGGAAGTTGGGAAAATTTGGGAAGAAAAGAGTTGCAGAGGGGAAAGAATTCCAAGCAGAGGAAGCAGAATGTGTGAAGGATCTGGGGCAGGAAACCCTTGACGGATAGGCAAGGCAGCCATGGGACTGGAGTGAACGAGGAAAGGGGAAAAAGGTGCAAGCTGAAGATGAGGAGGAAAGCAGGCACCATCGGCGTGTTTTTTTTGTTTGTTTGTTTGTTTTTGGGTTTTTTTTGTTTTTTTGTTTTTGTTTTTGTTTTTTTGTTTGAGACAGAGTTTCGCTCTTGTTACCCAGGCTGGAGTGCAATGGTGCGGTCTCGACTCACTGCAACCTCCACTTCCTGAGTTCAGGCAATTCTCCTGCCTCAGCCTCCTGAGTAGCTGGGATTACAGGCATGTGCCACCATGCCCAGATAATTTTTTGTATTTTTAGTAGAGACGGGGTTTCACCATGTTGACCAGGATGGTCTCGATCTCTCGACCTCGTGATCCGCTCGCCTCGGCCTCCCAAAGTGCTGGATTACAGGCTTGAGCCACCGCGTCCGGCCCCATCGGCGTGTTTTAAGCAGAGAGGCAGCACGAGGCAATCAGTGTTTGTAAATTATCATTTGCTGCACGGACTGGAGTAGAAGATCAGATGCCGATGGGGAGACTCATTAGCAGACTAGTTGGTAAAGCAGTTAGTGGCACAGACCAAGGCTGTAATAGTACCGATTAAAGAGTATCTGTAGGCTTCAAGAAATATTTAGGAGGTAAAAATAAGATTTGGTGAAAGAAGGAAGAGGGAGGTTTCAAGGTTCACCACCGAATTCTGATTTGAGCAACCAGGCAGCAGCACTGGGGCAGGAGTGGGGGTGGGGGGTGCCATTTTCTGAACTGGGGAAACCTAGGGAAGGAGCAGTTTAAGGAAAGATATGGTGAAGAGATCAAGAATATGACTTTAAACATATTAGGCTTATGCCAATTGTGGAAATTTAGATCAAGAGATGGAAAGATAGACTGAGTGAGAAATTCAGATCAAAAGAGATGTGGGGTAGAGCTGTATGTTTAGGGATTCATCCATGTGAATGAGATCACCTTGGGACAAAGTGACAAGAAAACGAATGAGTTCTCAGCAACTGTACCGTTTAGAGGTCAGGCGGGAGAGAAGGAGTTAGTAGGTGAAAGACCAAAACAATAAAAGTTCAGTGTCCAGAAAGGTCAAAAGAAAACCAAAAGGCCAAGAAAATTCAAGAAAGGAGCACCTTTTCCCTAAAGTAGATCCTTAACAATTCAAATGACTCCTTCAACACCCTGGCCAAGGCTTTCTTCTGGCTCTGAGCTGGACACAGGTCAACATCTACACTGGCACCCTGGCCTCTGGTTCATTATGTGTAGTCCAGACTCTTCCACTGAATCCTTTTCTATCTCTAGATATGTTAATGCCATGAATACCAGCCACAACATTAGCATGGGACCCACCATGCCTATTAACAGAGTCCACAGTAAGACAGTTGGAATGCCAGATTGCAGGAAACTTTTCAACAGGTCAAGGAAATTTTTCAGCTGTTAAAGGGACCAGTGACATCATAAGTAACTCTCAAGAGAACAATCTAATTTTGCTACTTTCCATGTTCTTCGTAAACCTCAGGTGATTTACTCGTAAACACTGGTTACTTTAAGTAAAAGACAAACATAGATCAGGGGGAAAAAAAGAGAAAGATAATTTTTCTGGAAGGTTATTATTATTATTATTATTTTGCTGCTGAAATGTGCTGTGGTTTAAAAAAAATCAGCAGGTCTGACTGGCAGCAAGTTATATAACTTTCAGAAAATAACTTAATGAGCCTCGGCCTTATTTTTCTTATCTGTAATACAAAGAAACTGAACCAGACTTTATCCAACCCTCCTTCTAGTCCTAATGGTCTGTAACTATAAAACTCTGTGACTATCTCAACTTAGTGCAAACAAGAGTTTGGTCTCCAAACTGATCAGAATGCAGGAAAGCTCCAGCGGATATAGAACCAATGATTTGCACCAACACGTATCAACCCAAGAACATCAGCTGACATACTAGAAAGAATGTTAAGCAAAAACTGTCACTAATTTTTCAGTCTTTTCAGATGAAAGCTTTCTTAATAACAGTCATTTGAGGTTTTCAACCAAAGAATGTTCCTCTTCTAAAAACTTTAAATGCATGGTCTCTCTAGGAAGCCAGTGTTATTTTAAAAAAAGAGAAGAAAGAGAAGGGAAGAAGACAGAGAAAGAAAGAGAAGAGAGAGAGAGAAAGGGGAGGAGGGAGGGAGAGAGGACAGGGAAGAGAGGAGAGAGGGAGAAGCATGGGAGAAGAAAAGTAAAAAAGAAATGACATATCCTTTTATCTAGAATGAGAGTTTCCAATGATAGAAGAACAGTCTACACTCTTAGGACAATGTCTGAGGCCACCATCACCAACAGAAAGAAAACTATGCATTCATAATAAAAAATTGTTGAGTGAAGTCAAAGGTGATAGCATTTTTTTCTTTCTACATAATATGCTTGATGAAAAAGAACTGAAGTTAGCAACAGAGTACGTGAATGCCAATTACAGCTGCAAACAGAAAGATAGTATTTCACAGGATTGGTGTAAAAAGGCCATGCACATATTAATTTTTAAAATTGCACGTGCAGATATGGCCTTTAGATGCAGATTTTTATCCTAAAGGAGGTGCCTATATAGGAAATAAAAATGGAAGGGTAATATATTTTTTGTTAAAACTGCTTGACTTTAGATACCCAAGTCAATGATGTCTGTGAAACAAGAACATAAACTTATCTAAATGATGTTGTTGATGTGAAAAACATTTGTGGAATTCTTTTGGAATAAAAAATACCCATCCTGTTCCTGAACTTCTGCTACCAAGTTCTCCTTTCATGACACAACTAATGTTATCAATTTTTAATGTAACTTTTCTGTAAATATTGTATACAACAAATATATATATACACATGTACATATATAATTACAAGCACATATATATATTTCTCTCACTTTTTAAAATTTAAATGAGTGTGCAATGACATTTGCCTTTTTCATTTAGTAATGCTGTAAAGCTCATTTTTTATTAATACATATTCTTCATTTTTTTTAGATGCATGGTGCTGACTTGTGCAGGCATATGTAATATATTTCACCAGTGCCTTATGATGGACATTTAAATTGCTTTCATATTTCCTATTAAAAGCAATGTTGCAGTGAATAAGCTTGAAAATTGCACTTGTTGATTGTATTAGGAACTATTTTTTACTTTGCTGTTTTTGCCTGTGTGTGATTAGGTAACATACATACATGGCCTAGAATGTATAATTTACCCAAAGGTGAGTAGGAAGAAGACATCTTTCTCATGTCCCTTTCTGATGGCCGCTAAGTC